TTGGAAAAATGAGAGCACTTTTTTCTAAAAATAGTAATTCCTGCATGGATTTAATTAGTAAGTGTTCCATCATTTATTTATTTAAACAATGCCTGTTGGGCCCTTAGTTGATTGCAGCCATTTGTTATTACACATAGTTATGGTGGACCATTAAGGCAGGACTGACCCAGAGCTGACCCTCCAGGGGGTTTTCAGAGGCAATAAAATGCAAGGGAGAGACAGCACGTCTTTCTCCCATGGAGCACCTGTTGGATTCGAACTGCATACCTTTGAGTTGGTAGCACAGTTCTTTACCACTAAGCCACCATAACTCCCTTACATAACAGTGCACATTGATTAACTTTTTAAGTACATTACCTTATATGAATGCTGATATATCTGTAAACTCTATAAACATAAATTATGTTAATTATAGAACAGAGTTCAAGTCTTTTGTTCATAAAGTCACTGTGAGTCATATTCGACTTGACAACACTTAAGCTAGGTGAGACTAGTGTTGTTATATTTTGGAAGAACATTCTTCTGCCTTCTGTATCACTCCTTGTCAATTTGCAAGAGGTAATCTGGGTTTGCTGTGATGCCGAACCTTACGCCATTTGTGTATCAAATACCATAATATCTTCCCAATGTGGACAGTGTCTGGTGGAGCTCCCAGTTGTAGAACAGTCTTGGAAGCAGGAGTGGCATTCACTTCCTGAACCACATGCCTATGGAAACTCTATGAACTTGGAGAAATGATGATAGTTATAGAAAGGCAGTTAGGTCTTTTTTTCGTAGAGTCGCCATGAGTCGTGTTCAACTCGATGTCAGTCAACAATAACAACAACAACAACATAGATAGCTATGACGTAAAGTATGAGAAGTGGAAATAATAAGGCAAAGAGGGTGTAGAATTATTTATTTATTTATTTTGGTAAAAACTGTTTATTGGGCTTCACAATAAGGTTTACAGAGCAAATTCATTTTGCAGTCTGTCATTCATACCACTTTGGTCTTAAAACACTGACTATGGCCCACATATTGGAACAGCACTCTTATCAAATCCTCCTTGTGTTCTCATTTCCATTCATCCTTCTGTCCTTTCCTGTGTTCTGAGCCTTCTTGCTGGGCAAATACTGCCCTTTTGGTCTTGTATAATTTTTGTAAGGAGTGAGCACCTCCCTGGTGTCCTTTTCACCTTTTAAGCATGTGGATTGTTGGGCCATAGGATTGAATGCCGTTCCAGGGTCAAAGCGTTATTGAAAGGTCATGGTCATGAGAGTTCCACCAGTCTCTGTGAGACCAGCAAGTCTGGTCATTTTTAAGATTTTTAGTTCTCTGTTTCTTCTCCAACTCTACCAGGGCCTTCAACTGTGATCCCTTCTGGATCACATTAGCAGGGATAGCTGGGTGCCATTAAGTTTCCTCGTCTCTGAATAGCAGAGGTTGGCATTCATGTGGTCTGTTACCCCACTGGACTAGTTGTTAGTGTCACTGATTTTTCTTCTTGCTTATTTTGTTCCAGACTGGGAAGGACTGATAATTGCAATTGATAATTGGCTAATTTTTAATACTTTGTCTCTGCCCGTCAAAATAGGGTATTGTTTTTGTGGACTGTGTTATGCCCCATACCATAATGTCATCTGAGGGTGTAGTCCTGAGGCCTTGGGTCTAGCAATCATTCCCTCTGGGTGTTTGGTTATGATGAAGACGTTTACATAACCTAACTGCGTGCTGGCTCTAGAACATTTACATGGAAAAGAGTATATTGATAGAATATTTCTTCTTTGGGCTTGTTCCAATTTATATTCCAACTTGTTACATATTTGAGGGCATTTTTTCTTCCCTCTTCCCTGTTTCACTAAAGGATTGTGCTATTAAATGTTTGCATTTCTCTCAATCTGATAGGTAGCAAATAGTTTGGCAGTAAAGTTTAAATTTTATTTCTCCTTTTGTAAATTGACACAGTGACTGCAGCAGTGGGCTCAAATGTGTCAGATTGTGAGGATGGCACAGGATAGGACAGGGTTCAGATCTATTGGTCAAAGGGTTGCTATGGGTCGTACTTGACTTGATAGCACTTAACAAATAAACCTGTTCCTTTCTAAGTTATGTTGCGGTACTAAAAGAAAATTGTTGAATGAATGGAATATTACCTGACCCCCAAAAACATGTCTTAGGAATAATGCTTTCCAATCTCTGATTGCTCTGTTTCTTTTGATTTAGTGTGGATGAATGGACAAACATTTGAATCTTATGGGCTTGCCCATGTAGAAGTATGTCTTTAGTGATATCTGTGAAAATTTACTTGTGAAATACAATGAATAAAATTAATATAATTGCAGTAATATAGTTTATAAACTATTTTTAATTTGCTAATTCATTTTAATATCATAGCAACCATGTTTTCCAGATATTTCCTTTTAAAGGTGAAAAAAAGGAATGGTTTGAAAGTCTTAATTGATTTACCCATGGTCACAAAATTTATACACAGTGCATTGGGAACTGGAAATGTCTTTTGATGTTATCCTTTTTGCACCATGCTGCTGATTTCATTAACAGTAGTTTATATCTGAATGATAGATAGTGTAGGTCAAAGCTTAGTCTATTAGAAATGATACAATTTTTCATGATTTCTTTCCAAATTATGTGACTCCTTTTTTGACCTTTTTCTGTTATAATTAGCAAGTACATTTTGAGGAGCTAATGGAAAAGACAAATCCAAAGTTTTGTTTATTCATATAGATTGCCCTTTAACAAAGTTTTAGGAAAATTATTGACACTGTTCATCTTCTTAAAGCTGGAGGTATATGTTTTAGGGACTGTTTAATTTTGATACCTTGAAGATTAAGTTAGAAAATTCTCTTTCCACAAGAAAAACTGTGCCTATTGTTTCCCCCTGATTTTAAAACTAATACATAAGTAGATACATGCATTAAATATCAGCAGTTGAGATACTTGATTAATCATTTGGGAAAACAATTAAAATAATAATAAGGTTTTTTATACTCTTGATCTTACAGTTTTACTTTGACTTCAGATATCTTTGTGTGAATATGTATCTCCCACTGCTGTCAGGGTGATTCCACTTCATAGCAACCCTACAGAACAGAGTAAACTGCCTCAGAGGGTTTCCGAGGCTGTCTCTTTGCAGAGGCAAACTGCCCTCTCTTTCTCCCATGGGGCACCTGGTGGGGTTGAGTCACCAACATTGGGGAATTATAGGGTAAGTGCTTAACCACTGCCCCATCAGGGCTCATCCATAGAATAAGAATTTTTTTCTTATTTAAAATGACTTTTTAGAAAAATGAAATTGCCAAGCAAAACAAAAATAAGCAGACAAATCCTATCATTTGGATAAACTTATCAATTTTCTTAAAAAATTAGAATCCTCTTGTAAATCCTGTTAAAACCTACTTTATTCACTTAATGTATCGTGATGATCTCTCTTGAAAATAGAATAATTGTGTATTTTCTTTATTAAAAGAAGCCAAAAATAAAGCATGTAGGTGAAATGCTGTCAAGAAGGACTCTAATCAGAATCCCCTGCTCTTATGTCTAGGTCCACTTTTTCTTTACTGCTTGACGATTCCCCACCTTCAGTCACTATTGGATCACTTTGCAAAGACTCACCATGCTTGAGTTTCATCTATACTGTTATGTACATAGTATTTTTCTTTATATGGATTACTTTGAAATTGATGAGCCTAAGTGTAATATTGGGAATTGTTCATTCAACAAAAAGTATTTATTTGAGTTTGAGTGCATACTCTCTGCTAGGAACTATTTTAGGCTCCGAGGACACAGCAGTTTTACAAAACAAATGCCACTGTCCGTATAGAATTAGAATTATAAGTTGCTTATATGAGAAACAAATAACCATTATATTTGGAAAAAAGTTTCCCTAAATACTACCTAAAGTCATCTCAAGCACCAGTGGTATGTGCATCACTCTTGGGAAATCTCATATCATGGCTATACATGGTACAATGTGGTGACGAAGCAGTAAGGAGATGACGTGGGCAGAGCCAGCACTTGATGGGTGCCGGTGAGTGACTGACTCATTGAGACCCTTTGTGCCATAGTCCCAAATCTCCCATGATCTTGCACCGTTCTCATGAAGCCCATTGTAGTCAGATCATAGGAGGAGTGTCTGTCTGAATCTCTTGACACATTTCTCTTTTTAGGTTGAGTTTTTTGAGTTTTATAATATTGACTAACATATATGGAAGTTTGAAGAATCATGAAACATTAATGGTTACAGATGGCCTTAGATTATTAAGGTTGAATTTCTGAAATTGTCTGATGGTGAAATGGGCCCAAGAAATTTTAGAGATAACATGTTAATGATAGAGTTTATAACTTAGGGTACATTACTGGCTTTTACAGAGCCCTGGTGGTACAGTGGTTAAGCCTTTGGCTGCTAACCAAAGGGTCGGAGATTAGAACTCGCAAGACACTTGAGAAAGAGGAGGCAGTCTGCTGCACCAGAGATACAGAACCTCAGCAACCCTGTGGGCTCTTCACTCTGTCCTATCAAGGTTGCTGAGTCAGGATCGAATTGATAGTAATAGGTTTGGTTTTAGTTGCTGGCTTGGTATTCTTGTTCTACAATAGGTAATAATTAGATATATTTGAGAAAGACAGAACAGAATTACTTGTGGAGAGTAGGAATGTGGAGGGAAGAATGAAATGAAGTTTTTAATGGTTTTAAAATATCAATTTTAAAATTGAGGGTAAAAGGAGCCGATAAGGTAACTGTCACCAAATTAAATCTTAAAAAGAACTTGATCTTTCTCTACTGATGGTCTTTCTCATAAAAACACTCATTTAATTTTTATTCTTATTTTAATTTGTTTTGCTGAAAAGAATAAAGAGAGACTATAGTTCTTGAAAATACTTTAAATGTTTTAGTGGAGCATATGTTTAACATTTTATAGGATAAAGAATTAGTTAATGAGCTTATTTTTTCCATATCACTTATTGTTTTTTGTTTTTGTTTTTTTCTTCTTCTTTTCCAGAATTTTATAGAAGTGAAGTCATTAAGAATTCCTTGGTAAGTTTACTTTTTGACAGGTACATGTGACTAAGCCTTTTAACTCCTTTTTCAGAAAAGACTGAGACATAAAAGAAATTGTAAACTAAATCCAGTTCTGTTATTATGATTCTTCTATAGTTAAATCAGGGAGTTGTGGTGGCTTAGTGGTAAGGAATTGTGCTGCCAACACAAAGGTTTGTGATTTGAATCCACCAGCAGCTCCAAGGGAGAAACATGGGCAGTTTCCTCCCATGCAGTTTTACTGCCTCTGAAAACCCCCTGGAGTGCCAGCTATGGATCAGTTCCAAATCAACTGTACATAATAACAACATACTTAAATCTTTACAGTTTTTCTTAAAGAATGATTAATTGTTTATTACTTTGCCATTACTGCTTAGAATCTGACTAGTGTATAGTAGGTGCTTGATAAATATTTTTTGAATCAGCTACTATTTTTTTAGAACTTGTTTAGTCAAGTCTGATTCTGTAATTCTTTCATTTTTGTTTAGCATCTCTATGATTATTTGACTTGCCAAACATCCTAACAAGTGGCATCGTTGTTTAGATATGTTTTTAAGCATTTTTTTCTCTGGAGACTTCTGCTTGTTTCTGAGTAATGGCATTATGCAGTATGCTACTTTTAATAGCACACTGTGTACTTGAGATAATGACACTGAGGCAATTTCTTGGGCCATCTTGAAGAAAGAAGGGCTTTATGACAGTGATAATATTCTTCTCGTGGTCTCAGACCATGCTGTATTTGTCTTCAGTCTACTGTGTCAGCCCCATCTCCTAATGCTTTTCTTCATTCATTCATTGTGCCCCAGGCTTACTTCTTTCAGTACTTTAAATAAACCATGCTTATCTTGTTCCTTCTGCCTGGAACATTTCTTAGTTCTTCCCTTCACTGCAAAGGTCTTTGAGGTCTCAGCTGTGTCTCTTCAGTGGGGCTTTTTGTGATGATTCCATGTAAAGTAACTTTCTTTCTCTTGGTCACTCTTTGTCACACCATTCTGTTTTATTTAAAGTCTTCATCACTGTTGCAAACTCTGGCCGACTTACTTGTTTGTAGTCTGTCTTCCACCATCTAGAATGTCAGTCAGGAGAGCAGGCACCTGCCAGTTTTGTTCACCATTACAATCCTGAACCTAGAATGGTGTCTATACTCCCTAAATGCTTATTAATGATTGACAGGGTATCAGTAATATGTCAGATTTACCGACCCCTTTTAGGTACCTAACCCTATTTCAGTCCTACCCACAGTCTGTGAGTTAGATAGGGCAGATACTTACGAAGCTCTGGATTCAGGCCCAGAGACTTTCTTGGAGTCCACAACTGCAGAATCAGAAGAATCTTAGACAAAATCTTCTTGTCTTTTATCTCCCTGACACATTTTTCTTCTTGTCAGTTTGTCTCCTGAATGTTTCAGGAATATTGTAATAAAGATAGCTTAGAGGCAAGAAGCTGTTCTGCAATCCCAAAAGTACTCGGTTCGAATCCACCAGATACTCCGCTGAAGAAGGAGGAGCAATCTCCTCCTGTGCTAGGTGAATCAGATTGGATGGTACACACACACACAAAAAAGACAAATTTTAGAATATCGTAATAAATGACAGTTTCCTCTGAGAAGATTCAATACTAGTAAGCTCTGGTCCTGTGTATATTAAATGATGGGTGATAAATACCTAGCATTGTGCTGATGTATCCTAACTGACTACTGGTTAAGTCCTAGCTTTTCCTCCTCTGCTGGCTCATGTGGAAATAGGCTGCCAGCACGTGAGAGCTAGGAGTGGTCAGGGGTAAGTCAGATAGAAGAAATTGCTGCCTCGATTGATTTTATTCCCTCTGCCGTAGTCAGACCCTCTAGTGCAGGATGATTTTAACACTTCCTTCCCTAGTTCCCCTGGATTTGTGTCATAATGAACCCTGCCATGGTTCTAGTACTTTAGTGTATGGTTTTATGTTACTAGTATTTACTCAGTACTCACTTGACTTCTCTGCTTCTATATGCATTGCTTAGAATGTTACCTCTTACCTTTAGCTCCTTTTGGGTTGTCTGCCAAACTGCTTGTTGGTGTGATTGTGACATTGTCACATCATAGACAATAGCTCCTGGAAAACAGACTGCCTGACTACCTCAATGTGCTTCTAAGTGGGTAATTGTTTGAGAAATTATTTTAAAATGCAATTTATCTGAGTTTATGATATTTTTGACAAAGAATTTTTAGTTACTTTTATGTCAAAATATAGGTTCAATTAATTTTTTTTTACCTTTTTGCAGAAACTCTCCTTTCTTAGTTTTTTGCTAAACCATGACTGGTTATTGGGTACCACAGGATTAAGGGTACCTCACATACAGCACACATTACCTTAACTAATGTAAATTTAAATAGCCACATGTGGTGAGTGGATCATATCAGCACATTTCTAGATGCTTCTGAAAATGTCTGTATATAATAGTTTTATGAAGTAAATTACCAGATAAATTTTTTCTTTTCATCTTTCATAATTTATACTTCTCTTATACTATTAGTATGATTGTAAATCATTATATTAGTTCTTATGATTGTTTTAGCTCATCTATGCTTCCTTCTTCCCCAAGTGTGTATGCATTTATATATATTTATGTATATAAATATACATAAAATACATATTATTTAATGTAGTCATAATTTATGCATTAGGATCCTTAAGGATCCATAGGATTCTTCCTCTTTATAATCTCCAAAGATAATGTATTTGTGCCTTACTTGTGCTTGGCAAATGGACAAGGTAAAATGTACAGTATTTTACTGACTCCAAGATGCCAGTTTTAAGATTCATTATTTATATTCTCCAAGAGGAAAGAAATAACTTCAATTAAATTGAAACATAAAGCCTTAAAAATGATCCTGCATAAATTGTAAAAGTCTAACAAGGAGCTTCTTGTTACTTTGAAATTTCTTCCATCTTTGCTAAGATGTTGCTGTATTCTGTTCAATCAGAACCAACCAACTCATAGCTGATCCTCCTTTGGGTTTTCAGAGGCTATAATCCAAGGGAGGATCTTGCCCATCCTTCTCCCAGAGCAGCTGATGACTTCAAACCACATGCCTTTGGGTTGGCATTAGGCCACCAGAGCTCCCTTCTAAGGTATTCTGCAGTCTTTAGTGCCTTCAGGTTCATTACATGACCTATGATAGGCAATCTTTTTATGCACATCTCTGTAATAAAAAACAAATATATTTAATAAATTTTTAGCAGTGCTCTTATCTTCAGTCCTATACTAAAGTTGGATGTGGCCCATTTCTCTACTAACGAATATTTGCTGCTTTAATACCAGGTTTATGTTTTACTTCTCTGCTACTAGATCTCTGTCTGCATAAAAATGTTATAGTTTTTATTGACTTTTGACACACACTTGTGTGTGTGTGTGTGTGTGT